TTTCCGTCAAACTGTAGTTCGGCAGAAAAAGCGTAATTCGAGTGAATTAAATTATCAAATATCACACACAAAACAAAACTACTTAAAACATTCGTTTTATTACAGGTCTATCAATCTTTGGAACAAATTACCAAAGGACATTAAAAGCGTGGACTCATTTCATACTTTTAAAAGGAGGCTTTTAGATTTTTACGATGAAAAAACCGTTTCTTATAATCTTCCAAGTCGCGAGGGTGTAAGTTAATGAGACTATTCTTAAATTGACTTGGTTGCAAATAATATCATATGATAATTATTGCTAGTTTTCATACTACTTTCACGATTATAATTATTACTACTATTTTGTTAATATTTATTGGGGTTGAATATCAATTGGGACATCGTTCTGTTTTCTTCTCCAGTTGCCGATACTATTCTCTACGTGTAACAAATTTCAATAAAGTAAAGTAAAATTGCTTTTTAAGGTCCATGACCTTTGTCCGTTGCCGGCGCATTTGGCATATTGGAAGACATGGTTCGCAAACTGTTTGACCTTGACCCAAGTGCTCCACATTGCAAGGTCAAAGTCTCTGAGTGTCATTCAAGACGCTTGAACTCCTACGGATGGTCAAAGTCTTGGGCGTCATTCAAGACGAGTGAACCCCCGAGGGATCCCTGTGATATTTCAAATGGTTTGTCAAGCATTCCTCTTAGTAACATTTGCGTTTAGCAGCTGTTTGAGATCAGTGGAGGCGCGTAATTGCTGCGCAAACAGAATAGAAACCGGAACCCAAATAGGTAAAATAGGAAAAACCAAAAACTGTATCGGATATCAAATCCGAAAACCCGTAAGTATTTTTCGCGAAAACCGAAAATCAAATGCTGAAAAACAGAAAATCCGCAAACAACAATGAACACCAAAACCGAAAAACTGAATTTTTTTTGACACAAAAAAACTGAAAAACCGATCTAAAAAATAGCTAAAACCGAAAATCCCGATGCCCCCTCCTTTAGAAGAAGCTTAGATGAGTTTTGAACTTTGAAGGAAATTTGTCTTAATCAATAAAAATTTTTTGCACCGAGTTAATGCGAATTATGTGTTGTGTGTCTGCAGCTGATGCGTTGCATCTGTAGGGATGCATATAATTAGAAAGAAGAGCATAATTTTTCAGCGTAATTAAGTAAAGAGATTTCTGTTGTTATTTTCTTGACTGTTTTTTTCATTCATTTTCCCGCCAATTTAAAGAGAACTAGAACTAAAAACAACAATACAGCAGATTCGACCGCTTTTCTCTTATTCACTACTGGAAAATAGAAGTCTAATTAATTCAATAGTCTTAATGATATTATGGTACGACAGTCAGACAATCAATCAGACCAAGCATTTTGCAGACACAGGAAATATGCCTAAGAAAAGAAAGGAGTGCATAATTTATATAGAGATGTTAAAATAGCATAACCACTGAAAGACAAGATAACGATTTATTCATCTTTATTTAAGCGTTTACTTGATAGGGGGTGGAAGTAGCGGCTTCGCATAGACACATACCATCGATATTTTGTTTATCTCAGCTTTTTAGGATTAGCGCTCTTCATCTTAATTACGAACAATCCACTTAACAAGCATTAACATACTCAGGAGCAGGTAATTGATTCACATATTCAATGTCGCTGTCTTCGGTTGATTGCACAAGAGAAGCGTACGTTCGGGAACCATCGTTTTCAGAGGTCTGCAAAATATTCAATTTTATTTGTTAAAAAAATTATGTTATAATCGACTTGGCAGACTTGGTAATGCTGGAAAACACGACTAAAATCGCTAATGCAAAATTTAAATTGAACGAACCATAAACGCTGCCGAGCGAAAATAAGACATTCATTCAAATACACTTGTAATGAAGGTTTTGTTAGATACTGCGCTTAAAATTTATTGCCTCTTTTCCGAATGAGACCCCTTTACCCGGCATTCCTTAAAAGGTCATAATCAAACAGATGATGTTTGTAATAAATATAAAGGAATATAAGGACACCAACAGATGAATAAAATTTGATAAACAATTATGGTAAATTGATAAAACAATCAAACTTATATATTATTGAAAGTTTTATGTCAAAAGACCACAGTCAAGGTGCGTCAGAGTAGCAGTATAAGTGAAGGGAAAGGGGCACATGCAGAGGAACAGCTAAAAAGTTAAAAATAGGAAGTATGGCACATCTTTTAGTCCCTTTTTTTAAAAGGCTCATATTGGGTAACACTAATTTCGTTGTAAGTATAATTACCATCATTGACTCCGAAAACAGTTCGGTGTATACACCCTCCTGTTGGACAAGCGGGTAACTATGAAGCCTCTGAATCTCGGTTCCATTTCCCGAAGCAAACTCTAGCCGGGAACCATCATTCAAAACATTTAATGTCAAGTTCTCACGTTGATTCCTGTATAATGAGTGTAAAAATAAAAAAAAAAACAAAAAGAAAAGAGTGAAAAGGTCTAGGTTCATCGTTAGGATCTTTGAAAATGCAATTAGACTGACTGGCAACAGGAAGACAAACAAACTTTTAAAATTTTAAACAATTAACAACGAGCAGCACCCCGTATTTATTTGGCGAAGATTCATGAATATGATATCTACTCAACTTGTTAGAAAACCCACGGAGTTCTAGAGCAAAGCCATTTAAAACATTATAACATTGCTCTCTCATAGACAGCTAGGGTGCCCTACGCTCTAGTGACAGTCGATTGCCTTTGTGAAATCGCCAAATCTACTCTTGAATGAAATCGATAGGAATGACGATTTCTGCATCGATAGGCATAAAAAACCTAGTTTCAGCCTAAAAAGAGCGCCAGTTAAAATTTTGCGCTACTGGTTATATCATAATTTGAATAATATTTCCTCGTTCTCCTCCTTAAAACTAGTTTTATCCTTCCAATGTTTTTAAAATTTCTGAATTTATTGTAATTGTTCCACCAATACTTATATACTCTCTTTAACAAGTATTACTGCTTCCAAGTAAGTTAATTTAGAAACAGTGCAAATTATACAGGCTCTTGCCCACGGGCTTTTAAGCACCTACAGCTGCCGCTGATCAGCTGTAAGGCTTTTGTCAGTTTTTAAAGCATAGAGCCATCTGTCTCTGTAGTTCTAGGTAAGTTTTCTTCCCTCCCAAAACGGTCGAAAACTCTTTATGCACGACAAGAAAAAAAAAAAAAAAAAAAAAAAAACTAAGTGAATAGTTAAAATGGATGCCACAGAGAAAATGTTTCCTTCCAAATCATTTTTATGCCTTGTTTAAGGGATACACTCGGCCTTAATTTACTTGTACGCCAAACTGAATAAATGTCGAAAAAAAGTGACACAGAAGCAACTTACATTCTGACAGCTTTGTTTCTTGAGGCTAGTGGATGAAATCAAGTACTGCCGTTAGTAGCAGACACAGATTGAAATAAATAACTTTAGTTTGTTTTCTTTGAAAGGACTCAACTCAGGTAGTTGGAATAAAAAGAAAAAAATGGCGCCAGACTTTGGATTTGTAGGTTCATCCGACAGTATTTTAGTGGAACACATACATGACTTTGGGTTAACAAATTAACAACTTAACCAGCCAAGAGATGGTCGCGCAGCCTACTAGTAATGTGACCAACTATTTATTTTGAGCACGTCATTGAATATGTTCATTTTACTCGGATTTGTCGTTGCGTGATTTCATGATCCCTTAATAATGATTCTTCCAGAACCAGTCGATCTTACAAGCCAGCATAGTGTTGAAGTCCAGGACACTTTAGAATAAGAGGGTGTGATTTATTTCTTTGCCTCAACTCGGTTTTTCTTTTCTTTTTTTATTTGTCATCATTATCGTACTTGTATTTATATATATATATAATCTTTTTTTCTCCTTTTCTCACTACTTTTACTTAGGTTTGGCTTCCTTGCCAATTACATTCATATACAACTCTAGACCTATTGTTTAATTATTACTGAATGATATGTTGATCAAGCCTGCCCCTAAATTGCCTTGATAATAGAGATGGCTAGAAGTCAAGTTGAATTTAAAGGAAAAAGCAAATGAAATCCAAGTACCTATTTCTTGTTGTTTTTTTCGCAGCAGTATCAAAACCATGGCGAGGATGATCATCACCACAAACAACAATGCTGCTAAAATAACGATTGCCAGATAAAGGTTGTCGTTCTTCAGGTCATCAACCCTTGTCACTACTGGAATTGTGGTCGTCGGGGAATCTTGGACTGTCAACCGAGGTTAAAAAAACAACAACAACAACAACAACAACAACAACAAAACAAAGAAAAATACGAGCTGATAATTAAAATGACCCCACTGATATAGGACACCACATGGAAACGAAGGTAATGAGAGAGGGCTGCTTGGGGAATTCCTAAGGGTCATTAGTTCGTAGAGCTTAAAAGTTGAAAGCCTTTTCCCTTTGAATAAGAAACCTCGGCTGAACTTTTTTTGTTGATTTGGCCGTGGTAGGAGTGAGGTCAGTTTTTGAAGTCCCTGAGTTTAATGCATTTTGAGTATTTACTCTTTAATTTTAATTTTTTTTTTTTTCATTTTTTTTTTTTTTTTTTTTTTTCGTTGCTTCTTTTTAGCGACTGGCAACTCGTATGCAAATATGCAGCAGCAATTTCTGCATTGGTATCTGAACGAGTCTGGGTGGCTCAAGGCTGGGTTTGGAAGGATTCTAGAATTGGTCTGGTGATATAGGCATTAAATACAAAACAGTGACCGTCAGAAAGAGACAACCCGAGAAAAATGCCGAATTGGGTGCATGTTCGCTACAGATATAAACATTGTACCACCCAATATCTATGCTAGGAGTAAGACCAATAAAACGAAACAAAAGACATATAACTAAAGTACAAACCAGTTTCCGGCAGGCTGATTGCAGCTGCTTCTCCTACAAGCCATTTCTGTACAAAGAAAAAAAAACAACCAAATCACCAGTTATTGAGATTCGGCCAGGCTACGACAAACAAAACTTCTAAGGTAAGGTACTGAAATGTCAAATGAAACCTTGAATACTTACCCCGTTACGTTCTGTGACTCCTCTTACATACATCTTGTAACGCGTCCCTGGCTTAAGAGGAACATTCTCATAACCGCCGTATGTCTTCCCATTTCCAAGAACGAACTCCACAGGTAGTGTTCGTCTTTCAAACATGGCCGCAATGTAAAAACGATCACCATTTGTTTGCGCTTCCTTAAAGCCGTATATGTACTCTGGGAGGGCAGATGTTTCGCGACGAGCTCTGGCTGTTCCGAGCAATTCTACTATGATCTCATGCCGACTGAATGGGGAAATGTTTCAAAAAGGTCAGTTTTAATGTAAAGTAGTAATACTAAACAAGTAAGTTTGGTGTTTGAATAAAAAGAGAGACAAATTATGTTACCATTAACTCGGCAGTGTCGCCCGAAAATATTATTGGGAAATGAAATAATGTTCTTGTCAAAAACGCATTACACTTGTTAAGAAAATTTTCCCCTTTTGTTATGGAGGTAAATATAACTTGATTATTAATTCTTCGGAGTCTTTGCAGCGAAGATTGGCCATTGTTTAACTTGTTTAATCCACTTTCTGGATATTTAACTTTTTAGGATAAAAACTTTTAAAGAACGTCCTTATTTAGGGGAAGACTGATGAATTTTTCAACGATCTCAGAATGAAAGATGTTATTTAGTGAAAGACATAGGCATACCTGAAAAAAAAAAAATGGTCGATCTAAGTACTCTCAATAGGTTCCGAACCTACGGCCTTACGATTAGTATCACTTCTGCTTTATTCTCCAGTTTAGGACCAGTCATTATCCATCGCCTGGGATGAGGGGTGGGGGATTTTTGAAGGATTTATGTTAAGCGGTGGTATAAGATAAAATTTGCCCGATCCGCCCATAAGGCTATGCCCGCCCCCACTGTTTCCTTTCTATAGTTCTCCTTTTACTCTATTGGTGACAACAACTGAACCCCCCTCCCCTTTCCCCCTTGTTCGTCCTCCCATGAAACTCTAAGATGACCCCAAACCTCGCAAACCACCCCGCTCCTCCTTTTTTGGAATTCAAGAATGGCCGGACGTAAAATTACAAAAGCCAGTCTTACATACGGATTTCCCAGCACTCACATGATCTCTCCGTTAGTGTCATCGGATGGAGATAAAAAAATCGTAATTGTTGTTGTTGTGACGTCAGCTTCGACAACTTGGGGGAGTTTGGGAATAGGAGGACCTGTAAACAAAAGAAAAAAAGTAAAAGTGCAAAAATGTTTCATCACCGAGATCCTTTCAGATGACATGAGAAAAAAGATTAAAGATTAAACCGGACCTTTGGTCATCTAAAGAAATGAACAAACTAGTGGCCCAATTTTCACATCCTAGGTAACATAAAAATCTTTACTTTTGCATATTGTCCGTGTATCTGTCTCTATCTGTCTGTTTGTTTATCCGTATTTCTGTACAAGTATATCTCAGTCAATCGGCCTATCTGTCTGTCTGGCAGGTAATTTAGTGTTAACAACTGAGTTGAAAACGTAAATTAGCCACCGTAAAGGGTAAAAAAGCTGACGTTTCGAGCGTTAGCCCTTCGTCCACCGACGCAGCACCACAGTTTCTTTAGAAACTTACCCTCTTTATTTATCTGTCTGTCTATCTGCCCATCCGTCCTTACGACTGCTTGTCTCCTTCTTTATCCACCACTCGAAGATTGAGCGAGTTGCTTGCTGACCCCATTCAAATTATCAAACTAAAATTCATCCCAATCATGTAGACAACGTGGGGACACATGGCAACGATACACTAGGCCAATGTTCTACAAGCTGAACTACAGTTCTTACATGTTCACACAAAAAAACATAACATTTAGCATACGTTTTGATGGTGCGTCCAGCTCCACAGGATCACTTGCGGTTCCATATCCTTTGGCTGTTTTTGCTTTCACATAGACACTATATTTTGTACCAGGCTTCAACTTTTCCACTGATATCTCAGTGCTCCGAGAGGTTTCGTCTAAAACTATTTCGTGGTTATGTTGAAAGGAAGTGTTATATGCTCTTTTACCCTCAAAGTATACCTGAAAATCGAGGAAGATACAACATCTCAGAGAAAGACAAACAAATGCAGTTGTAATGAGAAGGGGAAAATTCGTTCCGAATTCACAGAAAATTTACACACTTAAACTTCAGGGTTCCGATGGTAGGAAATGGGCAGTGGTTCCTTCCTTCTTACGGGTTTTTTAATTTGAAAGCCTACATGTGTCATTACTGAAAAGAACACAACAAACGGGAGCTGATGATAGAACCATAAACCTCCAAAGCGTGCTCATCACTAAGGCATTATTCCTCAAAAATTGAAGCTTTCGATTACATGAGCATGACAAAATGCATTCTAGCAGAATAGTTATCACACATTTTAATCAAGCTCGAAAAAACTACCAAATGAACAAATCCACAACGAAACAAACACTAAACAAAAACAAAACGAGACAAAAAGCAAAGCAAACAACATCAGACACTCAAATAACGCAATGTGGCAATATCTCATGCATTTCTGATAGCCATTTGGCCCCCAAATTTTTCAAAGTGGTAGCTTGTTTGTTTGTCATTCGAAAAAAGTCGGTCGCTATTTCTGAAGACAAACAAAACCTCTTTTTGTGCTGTCAGCGTTCTAAATAGACCCTCCAAAATTAAGTTAAAAAAAAGATCTTTAATATGCTACAAAGTGGACACTAGAATGAATGATATTCAACGTTCAAGCTCACGTAAATCCAAGATTGTGTCTGGTTATCGATCGAGACTCATGTGCTGCGTTTTGGAAACCAACTTAACCAGGAAGTTTGCCGCGGATTTAATTTGTCTTTGCAAATCCTTTTAATTCACTATATCTCTAGGTAAGGTTATGATGAAGTGTTCTAGACGCCAATTTGGCTTCTAATTTTCAGGATTTGGTCGCCAAAGTGAAAAATTTAGTCGCATTGGCGCCTGTATTAGGCGCAATTTCACACCCTAGCGTATCTTTTTTGTAGTTGTGGCTGTTGTTTGGGGTCTCATTTGACTTGTAAAAAATATCTTACAAGATTACAAGATAATTTTCAGCTAAGACTGAAATGTAAACTTGCACGCTGCGAGACCATTAGTGCACCTGTATAAATTTTCGATAGGTTTGATATTGAACGGATTTTTGCAGCTTAGCTCACCGAGTACTTGGTGATAATTCCGTTGTGGTCCTGGGGATCCTTCCATCTGACAGAAATTCCACCTTTGTCAAGTTTCGTAGTGACATCTCTGGGCTGACTTGGGACTACAACAAATCATAACAATTGCTTTGAGATCAGAAAATTGTATGACGAAGATACGGAACGCTTGCAGAGGAGTTAAATTGTAATCGGTGTGAAAATACTTGAAGTGTTAGTGTTCCCATGCGTGTACCATTCGCGGAACAGACCTAGATCAATTATTGGTGTCAATGGAAGGGTAGAACATTTGCACGTGTGCGAACGTTGAAATAACTAGATGAAGTGCTTCCAGGCTGTCAGAACCAACATTTATCTCAAACGTTACAAACAGCGATACCAGCCAGTAAGTTACGGTGTTTAGAGGCGTATAACGGTTTTTGTAAATCAACAAGATACCCGTAAATGAAAAACAGGATAACCCGTAAATTACACGAATGCGTAGGTTCGTGCAATTTTTTTAGTCTTAAATTTACTCGTGCTTATTTATTTCAAATTGCTCTCGAAATCAAGTGATTACCCGTACAAATGGTTTCATTTATTGAGAAAAGAAGAGATGAGAGAAAATCTTCGACCAGCTTCGTTCAATATGAAAAGGTAAGGACTATACCTCCTTCCTCTGTTCTTGCTGTGGCGTTAGCCATTTCCCCAGGTTTAATTGTAACGGCCTGGATTGTGAACGTGTAGTCTGTATAATACTTGAGACCTCGTATCAGCCTTCTGTGGTGCTGCATGTCTGACTCCTCGTCAGCGCTCTGGTTGCGTACGTTTCCGACCTGTGAGCCGGTTTTAGTATTGTAGATCTTTATGTAATAGAACCTTACAATTCCATTAGAATTATCAGGCTCCTTCCATGTAAGATGAACATCGGCACCTGTTACAACCTGAGCCCTAAACTCCTTTGGCGGTCCAGGACCTAGGATGCAAAAAGGAAATAAATTAAACTAACAATAAGAATAAACAAAAATAATCAACCCGCCAATCCATCGAACAAGTGATCATGCAATCAGTTATTTAAGCGACGGAGTTCCCATTCTATAGTTATTTTAGTGTAAATACGATCGTAAGAAGATGAGAACGAGAAAAGCAAGTAAATCACGAAGCAAAGGCGACCGCTGAGCTTTTCACGAACCATGAACTATTTCCAACATTCATTGTCATCAACTTCTTCGAGATTATCATGGAATCAATAATACAATTCATCATAATTCATCATAAGTCATTGTTATAATTGACCATTCCAGTAGTCGCTGCATCTTCATTTAATTCAAAATTAATTCTTCCAAATTGTTTCCTACAGCAAATAAATGTCTGGCACTTGAACCCACGACCTCCAGCACGGTAGTCCGACGTTCTAAAACATGAAAAATCTAGTTTCCCGCAATACAAGTAACACTTGAAAACCATGAATCATTAGTATTTACTTACTATCTTCGAAAGTTGTGACATTGAATACTTCAGAAGAATTTCCCGGTTTCAATGTACGACCCCTGACTTTCACATAATAAGTGGTATATTTGTTCAAGCCGTCTATAATACGTTTACGCGTGCTTCTAGTCACTTTTTGCTCATAACTTTGTACGTCCTTGCTTGTTCCATACAATATTATATACGCTCTTATGTATCCATTAGGGTGAGCTGGTTCCTCCCACGTTACAATAATTGAAACAGAAGAAACGGCCTGAACTTTAACATTGAGCGGATGGCTTGGACCTTTTAAAATAAATAACAGTACAAGATTTGAATAAGTTTGAGTGGTTAGTAATTACTCAGTGGCTTAAATAAACACAGTGAAGAAAAAAGAAAAACAAACAAACAAAGTAAAGTAAATATAAAACAACAAAAAATATTAAGATCTAGAAAAAAGAAAAGCTCAGCATATTTTAGGCTATTTTTGATTAGAGAGTTTAATGTGCCACGAGCACCTCAAGAAAAACAACTATTGGAAAAACAGAAACAGAAGTTTTTCATCAGAAATTGAGTGTAGTTTAAACCGATCAAAGCCTCACTCAGTTATTTAGCTATTTTTTCTATTGTTGTCGTCGTCTTTTATTTCCCCGAAGAAAAAACCTCTCAAATCATATTTCCTTAATTCAAGGATGATGATGAATCAAACTAAATTCAATGATGGCATACCTTTATCCAATGTCTGGACATCTGAGCAAGGGCTCAGTGGTGACTTTCCTACACTTGTAAACCCTCGAACTTGAATGCAGTATGACGTAAATGGCTTCAAGCGCGTGATTATTGTGTTTGTATTTGTTGCATTAAAACTTAACACTTTTTCTGTTCCACTTTCTTTGTATGAAACCTCATATCCCAATATGAAGCCGTTTTGATCCTCTTTTTTAATTTCATTCCATTTGACTCTTATGGTGTGCGCATCCTCGGCCTTTGTCTCTTGTTTGTTAATGACTGGAGCGGAACTGGGAGCTGTAGTTGCAAGTCAGAATAAAAGAATCAGAAGATCTATGTCAGCTAACATCTACGTTAAACTTAGAACGTTGTATCTAAGAAGATCGATGACCGATATGACCGATATTAAACATGACGTATTTTTGACATGTCCCCATTCTCAAAGGCAAATAGCTAATGGTCATGAACTATTATCTTCTAGCTGTGCCCATGCTTTGGTTCTAAAGATCTAAATTGCATTTCTTTACATTCAGTACGTCATCCGTGGAGAAAACATTTGTTAACCAAAAACAATAAACACTTGTAACATGAAGCGACGCATACATTGAAAGTATCGCGTGGTACTTGTAAGTTATTTGGATGCTACATGTGGTTGCCACCTGCAGACACTGATGAACGAAAACCAAAGCAAAAATAAACAGCAACAACAACAACAACAATAACAACAACCTATAACTGCACTAACCATCTTCTTTTGTCTTTGCCGAAAGAACACTGGAGGCAGACCCAGAAACAGCCGTTTCAGCATGGACTTGAACATAGTAAGTAGAGAACTCATCCAGTTGGGTCAGTGAGTACTCTGTGGTTGTGGGATACACCTTTTTATTCATGCCATCTTTTGATAAACCATACCTCACCACGTAACGTTTGAAGACGCCATTAAGCTTCAAGGGCGCAATCCACGACGCTTTAATCTCTGTGGATGACTCAACAGTCAATTTGAAATTCCTAGGAGCTGTAGGAGCTGGAACACGTCAAATATAACATTTCATTTCAGTAGTCTAATTTGAATAATGCATGTATTCAAGCTAAAATAACAGTTTAAGACCAAAACTATGCTTGACATATATAAAAAACAGTTGCACCACTCACTGGTTTGGTTCTCAAGAGTTCTACACCGGATTTACCCTCTAAGGGCTACTGGCTTCTTATTTCTTATTTCAGTGTCATAATAAAGAAAATGATCACCAAACTCTCCTTGTCAGAACCATAGGAAATGTAAAAGGAACAGTGTGGACAATATGAATACTAATGTTGGGTGCAAAGGGCTAAAGATTGGTCCAGATTTGCATCCTAATATTGTACATTTTCATGTGGTAATTTTGACTCCATCCAGTAGGAAAAAAAAGTCCAAATACCACGCAAGACTAAGAGTATTATCCAGAAGATAATACGATTAAGGTGGCTAAAGTGTATGTGCTCCGATGTCCCGGGTTTAATTTAAATCTTGGTATTCCATTTTGGAAAACATCTGAAAACCATGTCAAGGGTTTGAAATTAACACAAATTTGTAGCTACAATCTTAAACTGAATCAAGAGTAAAGTCATTCCCCCTCGCATTTGCATAATACCATTTCTCTGTTACTGAAATTAGGGGAAATTATGTAATCAAAATGCTCCACAGCTTACTTGTTCCATTGTTAGTACCATTGCTACAGATAAATAAAGTTCTGTAGAATTTATAACTCCTCTATCTAAAAGTACAAATAAGGTCATACATGTATATATGCAGACCTATCTACGCTGATACTTGCTGGATCTCATTAAGAGGAAAAACAGAAGAGCAGAAATATAACTTCAAAGGATATGCCAGCAAATTCTTCTACCATTAAAAATGCATTGTCAGCTCATAAAGCGTATCCATTTTTAGACAAAAAGACAAGATAGGAACCAGTTATCGCAGATCTAAAAAGTGTTGTGAATTATAATCATTACAGCAATAAGAGTTTTCATAAAGAAAACTCCCATACTCGTGAATTCCCTGCTTAACATTGCATCGATAATGTAAAGAGGAATTCTGTTTTTGGTCACTCATAGGAGTTCAAGGGTTACCGTAATGATTCAATTTAATGCCCGGGGTGCTTATCATATAGACACAATAGCCCTTTACTGACAAGAAAAGTCAACTTTATTAATGAATAAAAATAAAAAGGATCGACAATGCCTGGGTAAAAATTGGAAAATGAGTTGGCGCTAAGGCTCAAGATGAAAAAATGCGTTGAAACACGACGAAAACAAAAGATGGGCGTAATTTCCCATGTACAAAATTCTCAGTTACTGACTTGCTCCTTGCCGTCAGAAGAAATCTTTCGAGTATAGGGGCAAAATGGCCTGTAGCAAATCTTCCAATTGTCGATTTTCGTTCACAGTCTCGAGAAATGTCATTACCAGTCACTGAATATGTAACTTTCGGTTTTTCTTTCCGTATGGTTTTCCTCCCATCTAGAAACGTTTGAATGTCACTGTCTGTAGCGATACAGTTTTTTCAGTGAGAAAAGCAATCAAAATTTTAAATGGTGTGGGTGGGAGGGAAACTAAAACTTTCTTGGAAGCTACATATAGATTTGATGCTTACATGCTTGCTTGCTTTATTGGTAATAAAAGGTGCACAGATACCTAAGCGGTAATGTACTAACGTAATTTCACAATAAAAACGGGTTAACGTGCTGCGTAGCCGTTGGCTTTATCGGATGCTATGACTTGTATGTTAAACAAATTGCTCTATCTTAAGGAAAGGACTACTATGTAACCTGCCTGTACACAGTCCAGACGTCTCAGTTATCGATGTCTAGATTCATATTAAAATAGAAATTAAAATTCAAATTAATTGCTCGCACTTTAGGAACTTTAGAATTATCACACATTCCTCTCTCACTTCGTGCAATAGACAGCAGCAAATCAACTCTGACAAGTATCAATACATTCACGTTCACCAAATCCATCGTTCATCCTTAGATGATGATATTTAAAACGCATTGAAAAGAAACGTTGCGCTTGAACGACAAATAAAGATTTTTGTAAGCAATTTTCGGTTACTTAAGGTGTAACTTTAGAGGAAACAGCGGAAGACCGACGAAAGAACACGCTTTAACGAAAATGCAAAAATATTTAAAAAACAAGTTAATTTTAATCAAGAACAAAAGAACAAAGTCTTTCTGTCAACTTTTCTCTTCAGCTTTAAATTATTAAAGGAGAAGCAAAGCGTTCTAATTTAATTCAAGTAAAGCTTTGTTGGCGGGATATGAGATCGTCAAGGTCAGCATTTTCTTGAAAACTTTACGCCCCAATTGCGGAAAAAGCTTCAAATCAAGATTTTTTTCCCCTTCATCTAACTTCCTGTCTCTCACTTATTCATGTATAAATGGTTAATGGCCTTAAGGATAATTCAGTTAGTTTCGCATGGATTTCGATCCGCTCAAGCACGAACATACACAGGAGTAGGTACTTGATTTACATATTCAATGTCGCTGTCGGGCGGTAAATATTATATTAATTATCTAAAACTGTTTCGAATCTTTCCAATTCACTTAGTTTTCACTTGAACAAGGAAGAAGAGTAACATATCAAAACAGCTGATAAAGGAAAATTTGGTACATTGTATCAATCCATCAATTTTCTCTTCAACTCACCTGTACTGAAGCGATCTACATAAGGGAAACAGCTTTAAAGCTACAACTTGATGAAAGTCAGGGGAGGATGTAGGGTTCTTTGATATGTTTGTTAAACCAACATTATTCAATATATATAAATTTGATCACTACCATCCACTAGTTCCTTCTCGAAAAAAAAAAAAAAATATATATATATGACATCCTCTTCCTTCGCTCTTGATAAATACTCGTTATAATCAATCAAAATACGTTCTACCTCGAGGTTTATCTCGCGATTCTCTTGATTCATCGCGAAAGTGAAGCGTTTAATCTGTTTGATGATCAAAATAGTCTTAAATAAAGTGCCACTATCTAGCAAACAACCAAATAATGAAACTAGACATTCGATCGAGAGCTCGCCCTTCAGGAACTTTAGAATTATAAAAGATTCCTTCTACACTTACCTGCTCTCGACAGTAGCAAATTGACTCCAAGAAGTATCAATACCAGCACCTTAGCTAAATCCATCGTTCAATGCTTTTGCTGAGGAAATTTGAAACGCAAATATCAAGTATGATATAGACACAATTTCTGGTCACTGAAGGTGGGACTTAGGATGATACAGCGGAAATATTACGAGAGATCGCGCTTCAAGGCTATAAAGGACCAAACACGTGCATCCCACAATCCCTTTGGCCATTTGGGTGTCAGAAAATATCCGTACGCTTTCGGAAGTTTTCGTTAAGGATCGTAAGAATGATTCGCCCTTACGAAATCGTTGGATATTTCTTAGATTGTTCTTTAAAACCTTTGCCGACGGGGGTTGAGATCGTCAGGGTCACGCAATGTCTTGGAAGCTTTGCAACACTATTAAGGAAAAAGCTTTAACTCAGATTTTTTCCCCTTCGTCTATCCTCCTGTTTAGCTCTCTCTCATTCATGTCTATGGACGGCAGAATATCGGATAGCTTGATATATTTTTAATTCGGTTAGTTTCGGATGCATTTGGAACCGATAAGATCATCGCCTTGATAAAACTACTTGATAAATCATATCTACAGCTTTTATTCCTTAATTAATTTGCATTTGTCTACTTATAAATCACTTTTTTTCCAAAAACAAACAAACAAACAAACAAAAACAAAACAAAAATATGTGTAGGTTTTCGATTGTGTATTTTACTTTAAGAGGGCCACAGGTTTTTACGTAATTTGAATTACTGTGTAGTGTTACCCTAATAAAAGTAAGTCTCTTTCTTACTCCAAAAATGTTGGAGCTGGCTTCAACGTCAACGAAATGCTACACCACAGAGTCCGAATAAACTTTTTGTAGACCAACCATATTTTTACCCAGATTTGGCCTATGGAACAAGGATTTTAAAACTTGGCTCTGGGGAGCACCTTGTCATGTGAGCGGTAAGGTTTGAAACAATGAAACAATAAGGTTTGTTGGAGCGGTAAGGTTTGAAACAATGCACAAGATAGTGAAGGAATTGGAAGAGGGTGGGGCAACTACAAAGTGGTGTGAAGACGTTCGGAGAACTCTTAAGGGTGCCAAGCGATACTTGAAGACAGAGTGTGGGATGCACTGTCAGGACGGATGGTTGTCCTTGCCCTGACCATTATATGTGTTTTTTCAAGTGATTCCCAAAACCCTGAGTTTCAAGGAAATTGTTCCCATGAACATCAAGCTAGCTGTGATAGTTGGGAAAGTTTGAAATCCGTGATTCAGGCAATCGGAAAAGGAATTGAATATCCTTTGATAACTTTTGACAACATAGAGAAGAAAGAAGACCTGAAACACGACCACGATGGAGCCAGAGAGGTGATTTTTTAGTGGAGGGTGCATATCATCAGGAGTAAGAACCAGGAGAGAGAAAAACATAATTTACTCAGGTCCCTCCAAAAGAATGCCTCCCTCATTGACTGAGCCATGAGGTTCATCCAATTGAATACAGAGAAAAGCAGTCTGAGTGGTTCGAAATATATTGAGCATTATATTGACATGTAAGTCCAATTATTACTTGGAATGCAGAGGACAACGGCCTTGCGATTATGTCATATGTCCATCTATTCGAAAGTTGTGCTTAAGACTGGTATGCGGTTTGCGCAATTCTGGAAAACCTTCTCGGCAACATTAAACAGATCAAGCCTACCGTAAACTAGATATTTTTGCCATCAGATGGCGCAGGCTATTACCACAACAATAATTTAATTGCAGCTGCCTCTAACGTTGGTACACGCGCTGGAATCAAGGTGATGAGGTAAGTTGAAAAGGCTTGTTAAATTACAACGCGCACACATTCTTTGAAGTTGCATGCGCCTTTCTAAATCATACGGACTCTTGGCTTGATCGACTTCAGAACTAGGACTTTCATGCTGTTTCTGTTGATTATAGGAAGTGGTGACACAAACAAAGTAGATAAAAATCTTTTGATATTGTACTGTTGGAACGTAATTATCCTCTCGACTCTTGAAACATTGCATATCGTCGACCCCTTGTCGACCCCCTTAAAGGCAGATTAAAACGCATTTTTGCTAAACCCCATAGTTTACATATAATTGCTATAAACACAGTACATGTAGTGAATGAATGCTAACCTTTCTCAAAGGATATTCTGGGAGAATTCAAGTAGGTTTATTTATTTACCGTGTTGTCCTTTTGTTGCCTCTTCTTTAGAATCGTTATAAGTATAATTTCCATTTTAACACTTTCACGATGGGCAGAATGTGATAGTAGAGGTAAGAGCATACACTGAGCTTACCTAGCAAAATATGTATTAGTATGACAGGTATTGATAGATCAGTTATTCTAACCGAGATACTTCCTTTTCTTATTCTAAAGGTATGATTTTTCTGAACCACAATCTGCCAAGGATGATTGTGATCGTATTATTAGTCCAATGAAAGGGGCAATCCGTATATATTGCAATGATGGCCATAACATTTTTCCACACTGTCCTTTGTCTTACTACTGAACCATATGCTGAGGTCCAGTTTCGTAAGATGTCGCAGTCATTTGAAGGAAGGTTGACTGCAGGTAGAGGAATCATCAAAGGTACATTATCGAGAGACAGCTTTGTGTCGGGCCTTGGGTGCCTGGACTTTCGACTGGTGTTATAATATGAAGCCCAACTTGCAGTACGTTTCACTCTCTCTTTTATCGTTGCACCAAATAACCTAGCATACTCTAGCCTAGACATGTTCACTTTCTTGGAATGGACAATAGTGTGACAATTTTCGACGTCATATGGCTCAAAAGATCAAGCGCTTGGTTGTCATACTCTCTTAGAGTGTCTGCTTGTCTTCTTTGGCCCCACTGTCTTGGAACGCTCTTTTTTTCTCTCTTTCGTTGCTTCCCCGCCATGAGACAGACGCACATGATAGTTAGTCATGATCTTCCTCATAGATAGCCAATTTGTTTGGTATGTTGGAAGACATGGTTAACAAACTGATCGACCTTGAACTAAGTGCTCCACATTCCAAGGTCGAAGTCTTGGGCGTCATTCAAGACGCTTGAACCCCTGCAGATGATCAAAGTCTTGGGCGTCATTTGAGACGCGTAAACCCCCGAGGGATTCCTACGATATTTCAATTGGTTTGCCACGCATTCCTCTCAATAACATTTGCGTTGCATCGGTAGGGAAGCACAGAATTAGGAAGTCGAACATAGTTTTTTCAGTGTAATTAAGTGAAGAGATTTCTGTAGTTATTTTCTTGTCTGTCTTTTTCATTCATTTTCCCGCCAATTTAAAGAGAATAACAAAATAACAACAACGACAATACAGCAGATTCAACCGCTTTTCTCTTATTCGCTATTCTCGGTTTGCAGCTGACGACATGCATTTATGCAAATTAAGCGTCCGTCATGTTGGTGCTCATCTCGGGTGTGAAATTTCATGCAAATATATCGCCATCTCTACCGCACCCTCCTTCAAATACTTTGTTTCATGGATATTTCCGGTAAAAAAAATCCAGAATTACAAGAGAATATTCTCCTTAGGATACCTGTGCTTTTGACCTAAGCAGAGGACCTAGAAAGCCACGTTCGAGAGCGATATTTTAAGAAAATTTATGTGGTTGGCGTCGATCCAGTAGCTATTCGAAGCGAGCACTGAATTCAACTCAGAATGTCTGTCTCCGATAGAAGTCTCTAACCTTCTTTCTAATTTAGTCCTGGAGACAAGTTATTGTGCAAATAAGCAATATGAAGCATTCAAAAGTCTTGAGGCGTACAACCTAATGGTGTCTGGCTTCGTAACATCGGTTCAAGGAACAGAGATTGTTAACAAGATTGTAGTTTTGGCGAAGGTGAGATATTAGCAGCAGATGAACGATCCTCCTCAAAAGGAACAAATATAGTATGAGAAACATACGAAAAGTTCCTCAATCATAACGCACTGACCCCAACGCACTACCTCAAGGAAATGCTTGGCTTAATCCTTAAAGAAAATTCGTTTTAGTTCATTGAGGAGAGCTTCCTCCAAAAACAAGGAACCGCTTTGGGTATGAAAATAGCAGTGCCATTTGCCAATATTTTCATGGCGGAAACCGAAAAGAAATTAATCCGACAATTAAAGCGAAACCAAACCAAAAGAATGGAAACGTTACATTAATGACGTTTTCTCCCTTTGGCATTGCGACAGGAAAGAGGTAAATCGGTTAATTAAACGGGATAACCATTTCCACCCTACTATCAAATTCACGGCTGAAATATCAGAGAATCAACCAAATCATTTTTCTCGATACCACGGTTTTCAACAGGAAAAGATTCGCAAAAAATTCCATCTGGGATATCAAAACTCATTAGAGGCAGACTGAGACTTTCCAATTACGCACTTCGCCTCGTGCCACCCACCAGGCGTAAAATATGGTTCATTAAAGGCAAGCAATAAGATAGCCTAGAACTAACTCTTCGAAAAAACATTTGAAGTGGGCCGTTTGAAATTAAAGAAAAGCCTCGAAGTAAGAGGGTACCCAGAAAACATCATAGAAAGATGTCTGGCAGGGGTCAGCTTTGCCTCTTGACAATCGGCCTTTAAATATACACGAAAGCCGAAAGGTCACGAACGTTAATTGCCTTTCGTCACAACGTACCACCCGGCAAATAAAAAATTAAAACAAATATTGATGGAATAGTGGAGTCCGATACACAATCAGCCTTTACTGAAAACAAATTTTACAAAGCTTCCGATTATCTTTTATAAAAAGGAAGAATCTTTAAGACATGCTTGTAGAGCAAAAAATATAATTTGGAGGCAGTAATGCGACGCGACCACGAAAGCCACATGGGGAGTTCGTGCTGGTCTATCTTTATCTTTATTCTCACATCGTGTCGCTGCGACTTATCGCTTGTATCTAATTTCTTCTCATCTCTGTTGTCAATTTTTCTTTGAAGGAAGACTTATTTTTAGTAACTGATGTATTCGATAAAATCCAATCCCTTTGTCCCGATCACTTCTGCTGCCGCAGCCGAAAACTACACAAAGAACCATTCCTACTTTCTCAGTTCGGGGTATGTTTTCCCCGGCTGACGTTCATTCGAGTTCTACTTACCGCGAGTTGAAAGCGGTATTCTATGTTTTGAAGTCATACGCCGACAGTTTGAAGCATCAGAGAGTGAAAGTTTTGTTGACAACATGGGCGCCTCTCGTATTCTGATGGTTGGCAGCTCTAAGCTTCATTTACAGCAGATTGCTGTTGACATATTCAGTATCTGTTTGTCTTTTGACATTTCCTTAGATTCGCAGTGGTTGCCTCGCGAAGAGAACGCTCGTGCCGATTTACTCAGCAGGTTCATTGACAGAGATGATTGGAGTTTGAACCCCGTGGTTTTCCAATCCCTTGATGCTAGGTGGGGCCCTCATTCGGTGGATCGCTTTTCGTCTTATTTCAACTCGCAAGTTGTTAGGTTTAATTCAAATATTTTTCTCCGGGTTGCGCCGCTGTTGATGCCCTAGCTCAAGATTGGAGTTCCGATAATAATTGGTTGTGTCCTCCGACGCATTTGATCGTCGCTGCGGTTAAGCATTTGCGCTACCACAAAGGGTTTGGGACCATAATTATTCCGGAATGGCCATCTGCTTCCTTTTGGCCCTTTTTGCACATCAGTCCATCTCGATTTCATACTTTTGTCAAAGAATTTGTTGTGCTTCCAAGGCTTGCAGATCTACTTATTGAAGGACCTGGACAGAGGGAAGTATACCGCAAGAAACCTTCCGCGTTCGTTGGATGTCCGTCATTTAATATGTTGGCTCTCCGCCTTGATTTTCGCTAATTTACCACGTTAGTGTTGAACTTTTGGTTTTTTAGGTTGATATCGATTTGTATGTTTTTTCTGAGCCGTTCGCGCAGTTAATGTTTTAGTGTTTATTATAATTCGGTTGTAGCGTGCAGAATTGCATACCTCCCATTTTGGTTGAGGTGTTGGCTCCGCATTTTGCGGTACGTTATAGTTGTCGTTCAGTTTTAGTATTTTGGGTTCGTTTGTGTTATTTTGCCTCCCATTTTGGTTGAGGTGTTGGCTTCGCGTTTTGCGGTTGCGATTTTATTGTCGTTCATTTTTAGGTATTTTTGTTTTGTTCGGTTGCGTTATTCTTACCTCCCGTTTTTGTGGTGCCAAATTGTGCGCCCCTGTCAGGTTGCGCTAATCAGTAGCTTGTGGTCGTGTCAATCTGTTTCCTTCGTTCTATCGTCTTATTAGTTTTATTGCTTACCATCTGATTTGGTTTTTGGTATTGACCGCGTAGGCTTAGTTGGGCTGTCGAGTTTGCGTATCTCCTTTTAGATAATTGCTTGATTCATTGTTTTTTCAGTTCTTAGTGTTCTGTGTTCTCTTGCTCTTCTATCTCGTCAGACATTAGCAAGGTTGGCGTGTGGAAGGAGGCTTGGAAGTTGTCCGATCCGGAGTTATCCATTCAAGTTCCCCATCTTTTAGATTTAGTCCTGGCGTCTAACGCTCCTAGTACTACCTCCAGGTACTCGTACGGTTGGGCCGGTTGGCGTCGCTGGACGCAGTCAAAGCAAGGCGTTTCTTTCATGCCCGCTCATCCGTTGTGCATTGCCCTGTACTTATTGGAGTTAACTGAAGATGCCTTGCAGAAGAATAGTGGTTGCTCTGCTATTTATTCTGCGCTTTATGGTATTCGATACAGAGATGTTAAAATAGCCCAACCACTGAAAGACAAGGTAATGATTTATTCCTCTTTATTTAAGTGTTTACATGATAGGGGGGTGGAAATAGCAGCTTCGCAGAGACACATACCATCAGTATTTTGTTTACCTCAGCTTTTAAGGATTAGCGCTATTCATCTTAAATACGAACAATCCACTTAAACATTAACATACTCAGAAGCAAGTAATTGATTCATATATTCAATGTCGCTGTCTTCTGTTGATTTCACAAGGGAAGTGTACGTTCGGGAACCATCGTTTTCAGAGGTCTGCAAAACATTCAATTTTATTTGTTAAAAACATTATGTCATGATCGACTTGGCAGGCTTGGTAATGCTGGAAAACACGACTAAAATCGCAAATGCAAATTAAAAAAAAAAAAAAAATTAACGAACCATAAACGCTGCCAAGCGTAAATGAGACATTCATTAAAATACATCTCTAGTGAAAGTTTTGTTAGATACTGCGCTTAAAATTTATTGCCTTTTTTTCCAAATGAGATCTCTTTGCTCGGCATTCCTAAAATGGTCTTAATCAAACAAGTGATGTTTGAGATAGATATAAAGGAAAATAAGGACATAAACGGATGAATAAAATTGGATAAATAATAATGGTAAATGGATAAAACAATCAAACTTATGTAATATGGAAAGTTTTATGTTAAAAGACCACAGTCAAGGTGCGTCAGAGTAGCAATATAGGTGCAGGGAAAGGGGCACATGCAAAGAGCAAAGAGGAACAGCTAAAAAGTAAAAAAAAGGAAGTATCGCACATCCTTTATTTCCCTTTTTTATGAGGCTCATATTGGTTAGCTTTAATTTAGTTATAAGTATAATTACCATCATTGACTCCGGAAGCAGTTCGGTGTATACACCCTCCTGTTGGACTAGCGGTTCCCTATGGAACCTCTCAATCCCGGTTCCATTTCCCGAAGCAAACTCTAGCCGGGCACCAACATTCAAAACATTTAATGGCAAACTCTCTTGAAAGTCACGTTGATTCCTGTATAAAGAGCGAAAAGAAATGAACACACAAAAAGAAAAGAGAGAAAAGGTCCAGGTTTATTATTAATGATCTTTGAAAATGCAATAAGACTGACTGGCAACAAGAATGCAAAAAACTTTGACAAGTTTTAACAACTAACAACGACCAGCACCCCACATTTATTTGGTGAAGATTCATAAATATGATTTCTACTCAGCTTAGAAAATCTACAGAGTTCAGAGCAGAGCCATTTAAAGCATTATAATATTGTTCTCTAATAGACAGCTTGGATGCCTTGTGCTCTAGTGACAGTGGATCGCCTTCGAGAAATCGCCAAATCCACTCTGGAATAGGAATGACGATCTCTGCATCGATGGGCATAAAAACCTAGTTTCAGCCTATCGAAAAAAATTATTTAGGCTCTTGTCCACTGGCTTTTATGCAACTACAGCTGCATTAGCTGTCTGGCTTTTGTCACTTTTTAAAGCATAGAGCCACCTGTCTCTGCATTTCTGGGTAAGTGTTCTACCCTCCCAAAACAGCCGAAAACTCTTTGTTACACTTCGAAAACAAACCAAGTGAATAGTTGAAATGGATGCCACAGAGAAAATGTATTCCTTACGAATCATTAATTTTTATGTATTGTTTAAGGGACAAACTCGGCCTTGATTTACATGTGCTCCAGGCTGAATAAATGTCGAATAAAAGTGACACAGATTGAAGTAACTTACATTTTGACAGCTTTTTTTCTTGAGGCTAGCGGATAAAATAAAGCACCACCGTTAGCAGTAAACACAGAAATAAATGACTTTTGTTTTCTTCAAAAGGGTTCAACTTAGGTTGTTGGAAAAAAGAAAAAAAAAAAAAGAAGGAAAAAAATTGGCGCCAGACTTCGGATTTGTCGGTTCGTCCGGCAGCATTTAAGTAAAAACACATAAATGTACTCGGTATCTCGGGTGACACATTAACAACTTACCCAGCTAAGAGGTAGTCGCGCAGCCTATTGGTAATGTGACCAACTATTTCCTTTGGGCACGTCATTTAATACCTTTACTTTACTCGGATTTGTCGTTGCGTGATTTCATGATCCTTTAGGTATGATTTTTCCAGAACCAGTCGGTCTTACAAGCCAGCATAGCATTGTATGTCCAGGACACTTTAGAGCAAGAGGTTGTAATTTATTTCTTCGCTACAACTCAGTTTTTCGTTTCTCTTCTTTTTTTCTTTCTTTTTTTTGCTTTTCATCATTGTTGTTTTTATTATTTTTTTTCACCTTTACTCACTACTCTTAGATTTGGCTTACTTACCAATTACATATATTTATATATCTAGAACTAGAATATTGTTTAAAAAGGGTCTTGATATTAGCAGGCAAGTAACTAATTTAAAGAAACATGTATTACCAATTCAATTTCCAACCCTTTGTATATTAGTTAACTGAAGATGACAGAAGTTTCTGTCGAAACATGTCTTACAGACTTAAAAGTTTTATCGCTTTTTTAAAAAACTATTGCTTAATTATTACTGAATGATATGTTGATCAAGCCTGCCCCTAGATTGCCTTGATAATAGAGATGACTAAAAGTCAAGTTTAATTTAAAGAAAAAAGAAAACAAAATCCAAGTACCCATTTCTTGATGGTTTTTTCGTAGCAGTATGAAAACCACGGTGAGGATGATCATCACTATAAACAACAATGCTGCTGAAATAGCGATTGGCAGATAAAGGATGCCTTTCTCGAGGTCATCGGCCTTTGCCACAACTGGAACTGTGGGAAAAGAACTAACGACATTTATTAACACTTTAACTCCCATAGGTAACCAAGAAAGAATTTCGCCTTACAATATAAACATAATACAGTAGACAAGTGGAGAAGATAAAGAAGAGTATCAATCAGGAGTTTATTAGTTGATCAGATATCAAATTCACTGAAATACCATCGTTAGAATTGTATGGTAGATAGCGATGAGAATTACTAATGAGATAGAAGTGAACACACCTTAGCACCCTAACATCAGTATGCATATTCTCCATACTGCTCTCTCTACATTTCCTGGGGTGCAACAAGGATTTTGTTTAAAAATCATGAGCTTATTCAGCCGATGATCGTTTCCTTTATTCTCTTGACCTTCGTATTTGATTCAGAGGTAACATTGTAAGGAGAAATAAAAAGCTTGTCACTCATTAGGGTCAAAGGGTCGAGTAACCTGCGTTATTGTTATTTTACATGCTAATAAGGGAATAACATGACTTTTTGAGAGAATATTGTTTATTTGCGCCCGCGTAGTGTCATTTGCGGCCCACTACAAGGGCGCAAATAAACAATATTCCCGAAAAAAGTCATGTCATTATCATTATTATCAATAAACAAGGCCAAATGATGTCAAGAATGCGAGTTTTAATAATACAAGCTAAGTGAATGACGAATTCAAAGTCACTTCAAATCATCATGTAAGCTGTAGGGCTGATAATGCATTAGCAGCCCGCTGTCAGTCTTTTCCGGCCCGCTGAGCGTGTGTTTTGAAGAGGCCGATTTTCTATTTGGCCGCGTATATTGATAATAATGGTAATTAACATGTAACATGTTATCATTTTACATGTTAATGGTAACTCCATTACTCACTTGACTCGTTAGTTCTCACTTTAAGTGATACTGACCAAGGGCCACTTCCCTTATCAGTTTCTGCTCTCACTTGGATGTCAAACCATGTGTAAGGCGTTAGCTTGTCCAATGTCGCAGATCTGCTCACTGTAACTACTCTTTGTTGAATGTGGGATATTCCAGCTGCCTGCCACTTAACACAGTACCTTGTTATTCCATCCCCTACATCAGTAGGAGCGCTCCATGAGATGACAATTTCGTTTGGTGAAACAGAATTTGTAGAGAGTGAGGATGGCTGGCCCGGCAAGCCTAAAAATTAACATGATAAAATGATATAGATATTAGAAATCAATTATTTAAATGGTAATAGTAACATTCCTTTCCATTCCCTATTTAATTTGGGGCTAATAATATTGACTAAGGCTTGTCTGTTCTTTTCTATTTACCTTCATGAATGAATTTAAAGTTAAAGATAAGAAGGAGTTTCAGAGAGTAAGTCGGAGAAGATTATGCCACTTTACTTTACTTATAACTTGATTCAGCATTGATTCACATCATCGTTCCGACAGATTTGCTGGATAGCTCAAGTCCTCAACAGTTACAACGCTAATAAGTACCACATATGGTGGACGCCGTCGCCTTTGCTGATTTTTTCTCTTTTATACTGTCATGTAATCTTTTTAACTATCTTCTGCGGTATAACTGACTTTCGAGAGAAGGACTGGGCCGTAATACGATTGACTTATTCTTATTCTCAGATTCGTGTAGTGAGAATTAAGAGTCTATTATCTCCTGCACCTGTCAATTCACATATGAATCCTGCATAAGATTTGGGTGAAGTACAGCTGACATCATTATAGAGCCCGTAGTTATTACGATAGTCTCTGTACATTTGCGCACAGTTCTCTTCATAATCACCACCTCTGTTGTTAGGTTCTCCTCTTGCCCAGGGCCAATGTCCTCTGCTGGACGCATTCACTGAGCTGTTATCACTTAACCATCTCCACACTCCAGTTGATGTATCTTCCCACAAACCTATGAAGTATTCAGTGGTATTCTCTCTTTGAATGGTTTGCCTCAGGAAGTTCCATTCCTCACGACTCTCGATTGAAACAAGGTTATATCCAGACTGTTCATTACAGATTCTTTTACTTCCAACCCAATTGTATCGGGTACCATTTCTCCCAAAGAAAATGTACCTGGAACCATGGAAGTACTTCTCGAAAGCTGAATGTAAAAATTAAAAAAAGACACACCCATTAACCTTATCAGCCGATAACACCTTGGTAGAAAGTTTAAAGGCAGAAATAAATTGCTCTAACACTAATATTCTTTGAAGTTGAATAGCATCCGAAACAAGCTTGGTTGAACGTAAACAGTTCTTTTTGGTCGCTCTGGGTATGGATCTAAAAAACGTAAATAGTTTATTGTTCTCTTTTATTGGGTAGTTTTCTTTGTTTCTTGGTTTTTGTTGTTGTTGTTGTCTTTTATTCGGTGTCGGTGATAAGTTTCATTTCAAAGTTCCAGTATCCTTCTTAATACGGATGTATTTCACTGTTGGTCCTACACGCTAGTGTGTAGAACAAGCAGAATAGCTGTTGTGTACTAATTTTATTAAACTCTATTTTCAACTACCTCACTTAAACTACACAAAAACTTAATTTCGGCTTTGTTTACTGAAAAATAGCTGCATCGATTGTAAGTTTGAAATGGTTTCGTAGTGTCTGAATACATTACAATATCTAAAGTGCGGTGGGCACTATATGTCCGGCCAAGTACAGTGTTAAATTACTGACTGAACAAAGAAAATATAGTGCATCTTTTTTCATTTAACAAGCAAGCATACTCGATAATCAGCCTTAAAAAAAACAAAAAAACAAAAACAAAACAAAGTGAAACAAGAGCAAAACAAAACAAATAAACAAATAAATAAACAAAAAACATCTGCATGTTAGTCTAAACATTTTGCTTACCAGTATCACTCTTTACGTAAATGGTTTTAGTTAGCAAAACGAGAGCAGGATATATCGTAAAACACTAAACAACTGCCTCCCACAGTGTGCTCAAGCTTTAAAACAAAATTGTTTGCAAATCGTGGTATGATATACGTATCAGGCCTTTCAATTCTGCACTTGTAAACAGGTTATTTCGTCCTGGTCGAGCTAACACAAGACTGTCAAAACCAAACACGCGCACGTGTATCAAGCCCGAATGTATTTTTACTTTTTATCTGACGCTTCCACCATTAATACTCTTTTCGATATATACTGCTGACCCAAAAACATTGTTGTATTTAGCCTGAAAAGAATCTAAGATTTCTCAGACTGCTTTAGCACTTTCTATTCAATTATACAGTGTTGTGTTGAATAAAAATGAAAGTTCCTATAACCCGGGCGTTGCGTGATCTTTTCGCTTACGCGTGCTAGTGGCAAGACAGCATGAAAGAAAATGTTGTTCCTTCTTCGGCAAAGCGCGCCAGGAAATCAGACTTTACACCTGCCAAATGTACAGTTATTTTAGAAGAGGCGGAAAAAATATTGATATAATCAAGAGTAAATTTGTTCACGACACTTTCAAACAAAAGCAAAAGTCGAGCAGAGGAGGTAATAATTGACAAAGTCAATGCCCCCGGAGCTGCCAAAAGAACGTACCATGGAGGTGAAAGAAAAGTGGAGAGGAATGGTGAATGGAGCTAAGAAAGAACACTAGGAGTGGAAAGAAACCAGATTCCCCAAAGGCTACCACAGCCAAAATATTCGAGCCTTTTTGAACAGACCCGTCTTTCAGCGGCATTTGGAGAGGTTGTATGCCATTGTAATGTTTAGAAATTGGTTAACTTATGGCGATATTTCGGTGTAACCCACGACTTGCTGATTATCGCTGCAGTGCTATGTTTTAATATGACGCAAGGCAACTCATTATCTTTGCATTTTTAGAAGAGTTTCTTTTATTCATAATTTTTTTGTACTCGATGAAAATATTATTTTGCAAAGCATCCCAGAGCGAGCGGCCGTGAATCGATACCGCCCGAAGTTCCGCTGTATTGATAATATAAAGAGAAATTCTGTTTTGGTCATTCATAGGATGATTCGATTTAATGCCCAGGGCACATATCATATAAATACAATAGCCCTTTAGTGACAAGAAAAGTCAACTTTTAATTTTATTAATGAATTAAAATAAATGATCCACAATCCCCGAATAAAAATCGTAAAGCGCGTTGGCGCTAAGGCTTAAGATGAAAAACAAATAATGGGCGTAATTTTCACTCTAAAAAATGCTCAGTCATTTACTTGGTCCTTACCGTCAGAAGAAATCCTTCAGGTACATGGTCAGTTGTCGATTTTCATTCATAGCCGCGAGAAGTGCCTTAGTTTATCAAGCCACTGAATACGTGACTTTCGGTTTTCTTTCCGTATTTTGGTTTTCCTCCCCTTCTAAAAAAAAGTTTGAACGTCACTGTCTGTAAGCGATACAGATTTCTTAGTGTTTAGCAGCCATAATCAGAAAAAAATTCCGACAAACGACCTTGGATTGAGAACAGTGAAGGCTTTGCCGTTCATTTGTCATCAACCTGAACGAAAGGCACGAAAGGTGAGTGACGAGGAAGCAGCTGATTGACGATGTCAAACACGTGAAAAAAAATACGATAATTTTTCACGTTTGTCGTTACGGCTTTTCCTGGAAACATTTCTCTCGGAAAATCCAGACGAGATTATTTCGTCAACAATACTAAGCTCGTTAATTACATGAATAGTGAAGTCCACAAAATTTCCGTTAGAAGAAAAATCACGCAGTTAATCTTGAATAACTAACAACTTGGTGAAAGCTCGAGGAGGATGTTGGGTTATTCAACATGATTACAAAACTAACATTAAACAGTATACATAAATCTGATCATTAATGGTTTTACCATGCTCCGTCCCTCGGCTTTCAAGTCTTTAAAAAATCTTTGTCGCAATCAACCAAAACGCAAAAATCGGTGAGTCTTTCCAAGTCCGTTCAATTTGGACATTTATACCGTACATTGCATAACAGAAACTGAAGGAATTCAATGAGAAAAAGCTGCATTAAATCCTCTTGTGTCTAGTTGAAGTGTCTCATTTGAATTTAGTTTTCGTTGAGGAAAGGCCAGATTACACACGCCATTGCAGTAAACAAACG